TGGTTCTATGACGTGCAGTATTTCAGATGCCAAAGTCCCATTCACAAATATCATTAATGTTTTTCCAGAGTCCTGCCCTCAACATTGCTACTCGGGTCCCTAAGCTTACATTGAAATCTAGCCATCGCACCTGACCAAATTGTTGACTACGGCAGGCTACATAAACAAAGGTTCCTTTGCTATGAGAAAGTATGCACTGCATATGAGAGCATAACTGTAGAGTCATAGATACTAACAATATCCAGCAAGCGGCCTGTATTGACATGCTACGAGCATGGCAAAGAAATTGCTAGTATGGGACAAGCGATTGAACATCTCAGGGCGAAATACGTCGGCTTTAACAGGCCCCCTGGGCGCCTCGGACAAATGAATGCACATGGGCATTACTGGTACTGCTTTGATTGCAACACCGAGCTGAAAGATCATCGCAGTTTCGATTCTGATGAAGCAATGTGGAGTCACTTGAAGAGCAGACACAGCTGTGCGATGGACTACGATTCTGGTTTATCGTGGTCTTGAGTCTCTATGGCTGTTTTAGCTAATGGCAAGACGTCTTATTTCGTCAGACTGTACACAATTGATGTGATTTACTGCTACTCGTAATGTTGATATTTGATCACGGGTAATCAATGGAGCTGCAATCAGTCGTAAACTGCTAAGGTCAGTCCATGCGATCTCTGGCGCAGGTTAACTTCAATCAATATAGTAGCACTCCAGCTCCGTGCTCTGGCCATACGCAGAGAGGATATGGCATTTCATAAGATGGGTCAACATGGACTCACCGTGCGATTTCCAACACTTTTCTGCTTTATATGGCCTGATAAAAGACACCAGCGTTGCTTCTCTTCTGAAGCATATTCGAAATCTGCAACAGAGATCGGATATGGAGCAAGTGAGAATGGAGCTGGTCTTAGAAGATTTATCACCAGAACGAATTAAGAATGAGGAGCGCAAATATTTTTCAGCCGTGACTGATGGCCTGAGAAGATACGAGACTGCAAAAAAACTCACCGATCAATTTCAGCAAAGTGACGAGCTTGTTATTAGCGCTTCAGTCTGGTCGTCTCCGGAATGGGCATGCTAAGGATAAGTACTACTTATTACTGCTAGTAACTCTAGAAGAGAATTAGCACTTAGACTTTCCGAATTCTTGTTCTTCTATAATTCAATTGGCAACTTATGTGCCCAAATAGTATGAAACTGGTTGGTTGTTCCAGATATACATTTCTGCTGCATTCTGGAGATAGAACTTAGCGACCTCGACGGCCATTGGAGGGCAGAACACGTCAAACGTTACATTTCCCTATCTGGGACTAGTATGTATTCCCGTGGGCGCTGCAATTTCCTAATCAGGCTAGCCTTCTTTTGTTGCCTCGAGACGTTAGTGTCGGAAGTGAAATCACGCATCAACACAAAACAACAATGAAATTACGATTCGTGGACGAATGTGACCCCGCTACGCTACATCGGCGTCGCCTACAAGCGCAACGTACCCAGAGATGCCGGCAGCGTCAAAAAGCAAGATTGCCGTCGAGACCACAAATCATCAAGCGGAAGCGTCTCAGACAGTCGATTTTGCCATAGAGAATGCGCAGACGAGATCGGGTAACAGTCCGTTAGCTGACACTGGGGACTTTGAACCCAATACAAACCCTCCGAGGGAGCCCTCTATCATTTCTAGTCATGAAGATTTTGATTCAAGCGCAATCGACACTGGACTGGATTATTACGACGAGGAGCTGTCCGACGCCCCTAGTACCGAAGCGCGTCAAGACCAGACAGAGTCTGTGAGTCAATCCAGTAGGCAGATTCGACTTAGGGTTCAAAGCCACTAGCACATTTGTCGACCAAATAAAACTACGATCTTTTCTTTAGGGTTCGACTTAACTTTCCAAACTAAGCTTAATTCAATTTCAACTAACGTTGCATTTATGGCATGCCATGTAATATTGCGAAGATGGGACTCTCGATCAAGCGGTACATTTACTACTACGGAATAGCGCATTTTGCTAGTCAGCTCATTCACGCCTACCGTGTCACAGGTAGCAAATCCTCGACCTAAAAGTAGGCCTAGGATTTATGACCCAACAGATCCAGCGTTTCATTATTGCTTCTCTCACGCATAATATATGACGGACTACAAGAACATATATGTACATCATGGGATTCATTTTCTAATGATTTCAAATGTGATTCCAGAGACGAGAATGCTTAGTGCGGATAATTCATCAGGACCCAGGTACGTATCGGTTCGGTTGCTAGGTCAGACAGTCTTATCAGTGATAGCTTATCGATAAGCTCCCTACAGATGGCGCTTCGCTTCGCTTCACTTGGGCAAACAAAACAAAACAACAATATCAATTCAACAATGTCGAGTGCTGCGGTCACGCCGCAAATGCGCGCGCATGGCTGGAATGTGTACTTTCTTGCAGACGTTAACGCCTTCCACTTTTCTGGTATTTTTCAGAGTCACGATAGTGGTTTCTTAACCTTTCGTGATGTTGTTGATGAACTTCGTCTTTGTTTCGAGCTCCCTGATGCTATGCGCCTCCAAGAAAATAACGATGGCAGTCAGGCACAGGACCCTTGGGGTGACATTGCCTTTGGCTTGATCAGCCGAGACAATTCTTTATCTGAATCTCCTCGCTTGGTGACCAACGAACATCGAGACCTGCAAGTCCCCAGCCTTGTATGCCCTGACTTCCAAGAGCGAGCCGTTGTGCGGTATCATCTTGTGCGCCATTCAGCATGCAATCTCCCTTCTGATGTACCTTTGAATGCTCATTTAAACGGTGAGTCTTCAACAGCAACAGCTCCAGCTCTTCCTGTATCGTACTGATACTTAGTCTTCTTTCCAGCTCGATGCGCAACACATATTGCTCGTCCAACCCGTTGTCCCGAACCTCGTTATTTGCCACCAAAGAAGCCGTCATCTGATCCTCGAATTGCGATAATGCCCTTTCGACGAACTCTCAGAGCACGTACCAGTTCTCAATCCCCAAAACGACGCGCTTCTGGTTCCGCATCACCAACTAAGCAACAAGAAGAAGAGGATGTTGCATCGATTGTAGCCCCACCGAACATGGACGAGATCAACCACGAGTACGCTCGACAAATCATGACTCAGTTTAGGTCGTCGTGTCTTGTAATGGCATCCCGTTGTGCTGTATCGGGAAAGGGCCGGTCCTGGTGCATGACACCAGCTGTTGGACCCGGTCTACAAGCATGTCACATAATTCCGCAGCAGCATTATCACCTGTATCCTGATTCAAGAGATGGCCAAAGCTCTGAGCTCAGTCGTCGACGACTCCGGGATGCGTGGATGCAGACATGGTCCGCCACTAATGGTCTCCTCTTGATGAGTCATTTACATGAGGCCTTCGACGCCAGATTATTCTCAATCCATCCTGAAACACTTCGCATTCGCGCATTTGTTCCCTACGATATCTTCATGGACTATCATGGCATGGAGGCCCGTGTGCCTCCAGATGTCGATCGGAATGCTCTCCGTCATCACTATGAAATGTGTTGTATTGAGAACATGGCAGCCAAGATGCCTTCTGAAGATCTCATCGCTCCGCCATTGGCAAGCCAGACAGGTACTTCAGGTGTAAACACGCCGTTATCGTCACGGAGTGATTTCCCCATAACACCAAGACCAGATGATCCATCCGGCGGTGATCCGACTAAGAGATCACAGTCTACCCGAGATGGCCCAGACAGAGGATCTTCAGGTTCACAGGTGTTTAGTCAGAGTGTTGTTGATTCGTTCGACATGGACGTCAGGGGCTGCAAAAGAAGACGAATCGAAGACTATGAGGTTACCTTGTCTGATATTGACAGGACGGACTGGGCCAGGGACGGTATTTCAGACAATTATATCAGTCATGAGTTCCTGGCAGATGTCAATCGGAAACTTAGAAAGCTCGCCAACTTTACTAAATGAAACACTTACTGTACAAAGGTTGAACTGAATCCCACATAACTCGGAGACGAAACTCAAGCACGCCAAAATCCATTTCCGTTTCTAGAACTGAGCTTCTGCCGCTCTAAGCTGAGTTGGTGCTGAGGTTGAGCTGAGGGACCCGAAGTTCGGGCTGAGGCGGGGTGAGCTTGGGCTGAGGTGTCTGGGCAGGCCCATTTTTGGTATCACATACCCCTGTCGGGGTCCCCTGCAGGGACCAGATCTGGGTCCACAGCCCTGTTTTGCCTGGTCGGACTTTCCTACACCAAGGAATCTGACCTGCGTGAACCCATATCCTGAGTGGCCTCTGTACTCGACGCCGTCACTGCTTAGACTACTTCCCTGTTTTTTATTTTATTTTATTTTATTTTATTAAATTTTTTTTACGATAACCCGACTTGATGGCCATAATTGTTACTAAGTTTTACTCCAAGGACTATTTGTGAGGCAAGATTCTTTTAAGAATGTTCGCAGCCTCTAGCTAATTTTAACCAATTTCCAGTAGCTAATCTGTCTCAACTCCGAGGTGCAATAGTTCTCCATGCACGATGGATGAAGCAAGATACACGGATCTGCTCACATGATTGTTGGCATAAGGTAACCCTAGTAAAGCCCATCCCCTTCCACCAACGCCCGTGCCTCAAATACTACGTGTTGCCTTATTAGCAGTGGTACTAGAAAGAATTGATTCAAAATTCAGTGGCGGGGCAGATTCTGTATCTCCAATACTACCCAAGGGGCAAACCTTTGGTGGGCCTGAGATAATTCAGGGCTGCGTAAGAGATTGACCCGTGATTCCTTTATGCATATCAACTTCCCAATAAAGAAGGTGATGGAAGGCAACTGTCCAGGTATCTCGGCAACCCAGGGGGTAGGACGAGGGCTCCGCGGCCTAAAGAGGCTGTCAACTAGGGCTCGGACTTGAGAAGAAGCCATGTAAGCTCACAGTCCTATCTAGAACCCCCTCCTCAAGTGTCATCAAGATCTTGAATCTACATAAGGCTTCGAGGATTTATGAGTGAGGATGAGCAAGAAACGGAACATAACACAATATGAAGGTCAAGATGCCCAAGATGGGTAGTACTTAGGAGCAAGAGGAGGAATCGTTTCACCCAGCACGAGCCATCAAACAAACAATCAAAGGGAAAAGTCCATTCCGAGACAGACTGCTGACTGGCAGTGCATCTTTGTTAAACAAGGTGGCAATGAGCCCGCCACGCCACGTGGTCCGTTCCTATAACCGTTCTCGCTGCTGCCCTACGTCCATCCGCCCGCATGAACTTGTAATTCTCGACTTCTACCCCTTCCGTCGCTCCCTCATTTCCTCCCCAGCCTGAGTTTCATTTCCATAAGCTGGCCACGTCATCCGCTTGCTCGCATGGGGCCGCCATTATCGCTACTGGTCAACCTTGTGACGGTGTCGGCCGTACTCTCCCTTTCTCACCGACTCAGGACGACTGGTTGCCACGTATGAATGCTTCCAAGGACCTCTTCCTTACTCGCCTAGAGATTGTACACCCGTATGAACCTTCCCTCCTCACTTATGGCATTTCGCTACATACTGACTGGCGCTTGAAGGCCGCCGTCGAAGCTAACCCCCCGAGACCGATGATCTGACGGGACGGTAGTCTCTTGTCGTCGCGCTCCATTCTGAGGCACCAGACACCCGGCACCAATCTGGGCTGTTGGCCCTCGTGAGGACTCCCACGGGGAGCTGACCAGTCGCGAAAATGCCGCAAAGACCGACTGCGTCTATGCCCAAGGCAGGCTAAGGGCGATGCACTCTTGCCCTTCACTTGATGGGGCAGGGATGGCTGGCTCCGGCAGGCTGAAGCATGACCCCTTTTCTCCCCTTACTTTGCAATGGAGCAGTAACCGTGCCCGACCTATCGCGACTGGCGAGAACACATTGCGTGAGTAGGCTTGATTCACCAATACAAGGGCAGTGAACTGTCATCATTTCGAGGCGCCTCTTCCTAGCCGTTGGCCCCTGTTGTCGAGGCCCTTCGTCCCTATGATTCGCCATGGATGAGGCAAGGGCTGAGCTACATGAAAGGGAAGGATCATGCTGCGTGTACGAACGCATGGATGGATGACACAATGGCTTTTAGGGATCTGCAGGTATCACGAGTCTGGGTGGCCAGAGAACTCACGGGCCAGGGATGATCGGCATCTAGTTGACCGAGTCAGGCGACATCGTCGGAGTCAGGTGGGCGAGCAGAAACCGGCGGCTGTTGAGATCCAAACTCCGCTCATCCAACACGAGGATTCAATTCGTGTACAGAGACTACGAACAACCAATAGATGTGTCTCGAGGCGGCTCCGGAATTGCCGAGGGCTTTGCCTTGCCAATGAAAGAGTTGACTCCCTGGAAAAAGGTTTGGTGGTTCGGCAGTAAGGGCCCTTCACTCCATGCAGCTGCCTGCGTTGGTCTGGCTTGGCAGTTGGCTGATTGGTAGAGATGGCAGAAACGGGGATGTAGCGACCTCCGTTCGAGCAACTCCTTTGTCTCAGATGGATGGATGGCAGGGGGAAGCCGGGCAGCACTTGAAGACGGCAGGAAGACAATGGCAAGCAGGCCAGCTAAAGCATTAAAGCTAGACGGTGCCTGCCAGCCTGACAACGCTATCCGAGCAAAGCTCACATCTTTGACCTCAGCAGGAGCAAGCGCAGCCCGGCCATGAAACCAACTGCCACCCTTGATGCCAGCCAGCAGAAGCAGCAGCAGGCTCATCTTCCTTCTCCTTCACGAGCGGAAACCTCCTCCTGTTGTGAACACAACGACAACCACCTATCCGCTTCTGGAGTCGGAGCTTCCAACGAGCCAATACGGATCCCCTCTTACGTCGACTCCAATGCGGAGGTGGCTGCCAAGGTTTTGATGACTCGCGATCCGACGCAACGCTTCCATCGATCAACAATCTTGCTGCACAGTCTCATCCTACGAGCATGATTCATGCGGGTAAGCCCTAAAATCCGTTCGCTCTCCGCAAAACGCCGGAGCTCTAACAGACGGTTTAGACAGTCCCGTAGGGTGTTTAATGGTATATGGACCTAAACTGTAGCCAGGGCATCTGAGTCGGGCGCCATGACCAGAGTGGTCAGTGGGTCACCAAGATCTTCGCTGCCTATCACCGCAAAGCCCACCACGCCAGAACACGCGTCACCGCTGTCCGATGTATCCCAGGCGACGTCCAATGAGACTGGAGTCAGGGCGGTTATCGCTTGCTTTGAGGAATGCCGCTCGAGAGTGCTTGGTTCCAGCTGCCATTAGCTTCTCGATAATCTCCAGATCACCTGCCCTAGAGGCTAATTGGAGCGCCGTCAGTCCATCATCACCTGCAGCGGCATCGACATCGGCTCCCGCTGCTAGTAGTTTTTCAATAACCTCTAGATAACCTCGCTCAGCGGCTGCTTGGAGCTCTGTCTGTCCTCTATAACCGCCAGCAGCGGCATTGACATCAGCTCCAGCTGCAAGTAGCTTTTCAATAACCTCTAGATAGCCACCCCCAGCGGCTGCTTGGAGCGCTGTCTGTCCTCTATAACCCCCAGCAGCAGCAGCATTAACATCGGCTCCAGCTGCTACTAGTAGCTCAACGAAGGCCTCGTGTCCGTTCTAACAAAAGCCCACGTAACTTCCAAGTTTGGTTCCATTACAAAGTTGATATTTGACTTACTGAAGACGTTCGTTCGGATATGATGGCTGGTGAGCATTCTTGATTGTCTTCAAGACGATGAACTCTCCTTTACTGTCTTGTGCCTTGCGGGATTTCACCCTGTGGAAACGGCGTTTCCTTGGTCACTTCCCAACTGTGACTCCATTCTCGCCGCCTTGCGTAATTGATACTCTCGGAAACCTACATCCCGACGTCAAGTGTTTCATTCTACTGCAATCACGCGATCGAGGTAACAGGCCACAAGGTATCACGAGCTTCCTCTTGCAGTATATCCCACGGATTCTGCCTTGCCAATAGGGGTTGTTAACCATCAGCAGGGGTAAAGCTATAGTTGTCACGCAGTACTGCCTATCACAGGCTCGCTGAAGGATCTTGAATACATGTATGCCTTCAAGGCCCGGCGTTCCTTAATCTGATAGTCACTCTCCGCTTCGCTATCACAAGAAACCCCTTTATCGTTTCAAAGTCCGACGAGCGGCAGCCAACAGAGAAAGCACTGGCTATCTCGAGATATATAAACCTCCTCAGTCCCCATATGATCTTGACTCCCTTTCTTTCTTTCTCATCAACACCCTTCACAATATCAATCGCAAAAGACAAACAATTTCGATTACTATTCTTTTTTTCTTTTCGATTCAATGGCTACCTACACAGAGCAATCGGCTTACGAGCAACCCACAGGAGCCGTAGCCGCAGAGTTACTGTCTTCTCCTCCAACTCCATGGGCCACCTATGAAGACCTCCCTGAAACCCCAAGAGCCAATTTCACAGTCCAGATGCCTTATCTCGAGTCCCCAATGCGAGCATATGTGGAGCTTCGAGCGTCTCCCCCAACCCCAAAGGCTCCTGATACAGAGGAACTATGGTCTCCTCCTCCGACTCCACGAGCCACGTATGGAGATCTCCCTGAAACTCCAAGGGCCAACTTCACAGATCAGATCCCTTATCTGCAGTCCCCAGTGCCAGCATATATGGAGCTTCGAGCTTCTCCCCCAACACCGAAGGCTCCTGATACAGAGGAACTAGCCAATTCTCAACCCACAATCCAGAAGGCAAATTCGACTTGGGGTTAAAAGCCACCAGCACATTTCTCGGCTAAATTAAATTACGGGCCCTTTTCTAAGGCTCGAATTAGCATTCCGAGCCAAATTTATTCAATTTTGATTAATATTGTAGCCGTGGCATGTCATCCAACATAGCGAAGGTTGGACTATCGACCGAGCGTCACATTTCCTATTACGGAATAGTGAAGTTTGTCTGTCAAGCGTTACATTTCCTATTATGGATTAGTAGATTCCATCAGTCAGCTTAGTCATGCTTGCAGTGTCACATGCCAATGCTCAACTTAATAATAATTTGGGAGCCCGTAGTGGCTGATAAGCGAGCTAACTAGCTTTAGTTATTCCTGAGATGGAATTTTTTAAAAGCATAAGATATATAGAGTCGAGAAATCCCATCCCAGCTGCATGGCGGATACAGCTCTGAATCCATTTGCATTCCCATAGTAAAAAAAAAGGCGCTAATGAAATGACGACCTGAATCCATTTAACCCAAACGGATTCAGGTCACCCATAGCTTTTTGTCGCTAAAATGCATTTTAAGTAGATGCATCGATTCATTATATCGAGGCAAGCTTAAATCTGGGTTACTAGCCTTCGAAAATCATTTTTATGGCGTTACGACCCGTTTGAAGTTTGAATCAATTGATTAATTGAAGTTAACAGAGACCGAGATCCAGCAGGCCACATTAGTCATCAGACACAGCCAAGGTTCAGCAGTAGCCATTAGTCATCCATAAGGTCAAGGCAAGAGTAAAGAGGCAGACAACAATTAAGGTTTTGTATCATAGCAACAGCAGAGGTAAGTTCAACAGGGGTCCGAGGAGGATAAGTAAATAGTTGGAAAAACAACCAGTCATCCATATCAGATAAAAACCAAAGCCATCCAGCTACAATGTTACCATTTATTAAATTAACCGAGTATCCATTTGTGATTTGTACAGTATGCCGTTATGCATATGTCACCAAGGAGATTGAATCGCATTTAAAGAAGCACCATAAGAGCATCAAAGCAGCAGTCAGAAGAGAGATTGCCCAGCAAGTCAGGGATTTGCCCGGCATGATTGATGAGAGAAGAGGGTTGTTAAAGTGGCCAACGCCACCGCCGACGACCGACCCGATCCCATATATCCACCCGCCGGTCCCCGGTAACTTGGGTTGTGGCGAGGAAGGGTGTTGGACCGTAGTTGGCACCCCGCGAGGCATGCAGGAGCATTACCGTATAAGACATAAATGGAACAACCTGCGCGGGAGAGGAAGGAGGATTATGCACCAGCCCATAGACCCGAGAGAGGTGCCATGGCGTACCGGCGTCCAGAGCCAGCGGTTTTTCAGCAACGGGCCGGGCAGCAGTTGGTTCGAGGTCGGTTTCGGGGCGCCAGCCACCCTAGTAACTAGTGACCAAATCAACTCTAGTAGAGTTGATTTTATTGACCCGCTTTAAACCTAGTAGGGTTGATTATTGCCAGGGTGTAGAGTTGATTTGAAAGAACAGGGGTTTGCCCAGAACACGACGCGTCCTGTCGCGGTCAGTGCTATGGAGGTAGATAGATAGATAGATAGAGTTTATTACGCCCGGAAGAACAAATCTTATAGGGCCAGTAGCTACGCTAAACTGTTTGCGCTTCTCCCCTGCTATCCGCACCACCTTGGGAAGCCCCAYTTTTCTTGCCCATTCCTTTTCCAGCCTTGCTTCTTGACTCTGCTTGACAGGCTTGCTTGAAGGCCAACTAATGATATCTCCAAGTGTTCAGCATCCTATGTTCAGCAGCTGAAGCATGGTCTGTCAACTCGAGGCT